GGGAGCGCGGCGGGCGGAGCGGGCAGGTGAGGGTGGGAGGTCGGTGAGGCGTTTGGGCGAGTCCGTGTCTTCCGCTGGGTCGTGGTTCCGGCTCTTGTCTCTTCACCACTTGCGAGCCCCCTCCGCGGGGTTTGGGCCGAGCCCGGCGCAGAGCAAGGTGCCGGATGTGGGCCCTGCCTGGTTTCTCTCGTGGGGCGCGGGTGAAGAGGGGAGGCCGCACGAGGAGCGGCTGAGGTCACTTGTTCTGTTGAGCCTGGAGAAAAGCAGACTGAGAGGCGACCTCACTGCGGGCTGTAGCTTCTCCCCGAGGGGCAGCGCCGATCTCTGCCCACTGTGACCAGTGACAGGGCCCGGGGGAAGGACTGGAGTTGTGCCGGGGAGATTCGGTGGATGTTAGGAAAAGTTTTTCCTCCAGAAGGTAGTCGGACACTGAACAGGTTCCCCAGGCTCTCTTTGGTCATAACCCGAGGCCTGAAAGAGTTCAAGAAGCCTTTGGGACAAGCTCTCAGGCACGGAGGGGATTGTTGGGGCGTCCTGTGCGAGGCCTGGAGTCGATCCTTGTGACTCCCTTCCAGCTCAGGATATTCTATGATTCTGGGGGCTTTGCCCACCAGGCCCCATCTAGGGAAGGGGGTCATTCCTCTCCCTTTGGCTGCCCAATTTATAGGCTGGTCTTTTATATTTGGGGAAATGAGTGTTCTGTGTGCTTCTAGCACAGTTAATCTTGCTATAAGTATATCTTGGTGAAAAGGTAATGAGGATTTGCCAGGAGTTTCCTGTACTCTGCACATGGATTTGTCTCTTCTGGCTCATTTTCTCACATCCACCTCCCATATTTTGTCTTTGTTTATGTCTATATTCTAACCTTGTGACACAAATTTAAACAAATTGTTAACATTTGTTTCTTGGGTCATTCCCTAGCTATTTCGTCTGGTAAAAATGGGTGAACCTCAGCAAGTGAGTGCCCTTCCTCCGCCTCCAATGCAATATATCAAAGAATATACTGATGAAAATATCCGTAAAGGCCTGGCTCCAAAGCCACCGCCGCCTGTGAAGGACAGCTACATGATGTTTGGGAACCAGTTCCAGTGTGATGACCTGATCATCCGGCCCCTGGAGAGCCAGGGTATTGAACGACTGCATCCTATGCAGTTTGATCACAAGAAGGAGTTAAGGAAACTTAATATGTCTATCCTGGTCAACTTTCTGGACCTCTTGGACATCTTGATAAGGAGTCCAGGGAGTATAAAGCGAGAGGAGAAACTGGAAGACTTGAAACTGCTTTTTGTCCACGTGCATCACCTTATAAATGAGTATCGGCCTCACCAAGCCAGGGAGACGCTGAGGGTCATGATGGAGGTGCAGAAACGCCAGCGCCTGGAGACGGCTGAGCGGTTCCAGAAGCACCTGGAGCGAGTCGTGGAGATGATCCAGAATTGCCTGGCTTCCCTGCCCGATGATCTGCCTCATGCAGAGGGGGGACTGAGAGTGAACGTGGAGCCCATGGATGCTGATGACGGCAGCAACTGTGCTGGACAGAGCGAAAAGCAGAGGGAGCGTTCTGGTGGCAAGAGAGATCAGGTTTTGGACAAAGATGCAGCAATGTGCAGCATTATTGATGAAATGACATGAAGCAATCACCTGGTTTTGTTAAAGCACCACAGTGAGAGACAGAAGGGATTTTGAGGATACACATCTTCTGTTTTGCTGTTGTACAAGCAGACAAAGCATTTGTTGTGCACCTATTGGAGGTTATGAGTGACTGGGCAGATGAAAATGTTTTAATGTTTTGTGACGTGTGGTTTTTTGGTAGAAATGAAAAAGTCTAGTTTTTTGTTAAATGTATCATGTCAGCTGGTAGGCACAGATTAAAGTTGGCTTTTCCTGTTGTACTTTCATTTGTCACTTCCTGCTTGTTTTGGGTATGCTATTCTATAATTCTATATGCTCTCGAGTCCAGAAAAAAATTCCTACAGAAATGGTGCTTATTTTTTACACAGACAACACACAGCAACTTGGAAAACAGGCTCACAGAAACTCAGATTACATCAAGGCATTCCTTATGGTCTGTGTTTGAGGTGAAATCTGAAGCAAGTGGGTTAACTGTTGTCATGTAGCTCTCATATCCTTTTATTGTATGACCAGAAAGGCTTTCCTGGGATCCTGGCAGAGCCAGCCTGCCCTGCCTTTCCCATTTTTGCAGAGCAGTTTCAGGATCCTGCTGGTAATTATCAGATTTGTTCCTCTAGCAGCTCCCTGCAGTTTCCTGTTCCTCAGAAAACCACAGGAGCTGAGAGGAAGCCCTTTCTTAAGGAGTTCTGCTTCCAGCTGCAGCATGCAAAAATCACCCTTCATTCCTCTTTCTATCTCTTCTTTCCTACGAGTGTGTTGCCAGTTTGTCTCTCAGCTCTTGGTTTTCCTGATTTTCACTTAAAAAACCTGTCAGTTTGATGCCTCTCTACTCCTATAACGTAGTCATGCAAGACAAGGTTCCAATTCTAGCATCTTCCACTTAGTCATAAATAACTCATAGTACTTTATTTCACCTGTATAAAACACTGTGAGGTAGTTCAGCTGCTTCGGCAAAGAACATTTCTTGGCCCTTGATCATAGGTGCAGTTCTAGCCCGAACAATTAAAAAGGCAAGGTATCCTTGAGGAGAGTAGCCAGGGAACAGCATTTCTCACAAACTGTATTTCAGCATTTTGTCACAGTGAGCCTTGAGTCAGTTTCCACACTACTTTTTCAACTCTCTATTATTTTATGTTATATTGCAAAAACCCAGATGCATAAGGAATTTTTAAATACGAAAAAAGACTGGCACTCCATTTGGCTCAACTGTGTAACAATTTTCCCAAACTACCAAACTATTTCTGCCAAAGAAAATTTGCCAGTAGATGCTCTGAGTTGCTTCTAAGTATTAGAACCTGAAACTTACGATGAAAAGCTTGAATCCTACAAACCTGCTACTTGGCCAAGCCCTTTCCACTTAGTACAGTCTGCTACATACTATGTAATCTTTTATCCGGGCACTGTCTGCTGTGGCAAAAGCAGGTGTGGGAAGCAGTCTGGGGCAGTGAATGGCTGGTAGTCGTGTCAGCTCAGTGCTGCTGTCAAGTTTCACAGTCATCAAAGAGATCTGGAAAAAACAAGAAGCAGATTTTGTGGTGCTGTGAAGTGTTGTCACCTCTCAGTCAAAGCCCTGGCAGCAGGAACTCAGTGCAGCTTGGCTGTGCTGCAGGACACAGCCCAACAGCCCAGCCTCAGCAAAACAATCCAGATTGGACTGAGAGACGCCCACAGCTCTGTCTGGAGATGATGTGCTAAGAAGGAAACGCAGAAGTTCACAAAGAAGATAATTTTTGGTGAATGAGAAGGGCAAAGAGGAGCATTATTTGTCACCTTCAGCCAGAATGTTGTCTTACATCTGCCTGAACTGGGTTCTCCTGGTGCTATTCACAGGTAACCAAGGGGGCAGGAACAGCTGGATGGAGGTGGGTGGAGGTGACATGCACCAGGGATTCTGAGGGTAGCAAAGAGAAATTTTATCTTGCAGCAGGAAGCTACAAGTTCTATGGGTTAAAATAGAACTTCATCACAGTGGCTCAATAGAGTTCTAATGGAAAACAGAAACATGCTGAGGGTATGGTGATTTTAAAGATGCTGCTTTTTCTGCTGGCTGCTCATCTTATTAGTGGGCTTTTTTAGATAATGATGATTTCTGCAGAGGACTTTATTTCAGAGAAGATGTGAAACAAGGGCATTTCACTTTGGCAGGCTTTGTGAAGATGAATGCTTAGGTAGACAGGGAAAAAGATCAACTGTGGCTTCTGGTGTTTTTAGCCATATGAAATACCACTGTGACAAATGGATAATTTTTCTTTTTTAAATCCTGAGGGAGCAGTCCTAGATTGTTAAGGACAATAACAATGAAAACAACAGGTTGCAAAGTGATACTAATAAAGACAGACAGACATTAAAAACTTGGTGGTAAGATAACTTCAGTAGAAAGAAAAGGGATATTAATGATACTTCATGTAGTTCTTTATAAAACCTTTTTTGAAGAGTTTTATTTTGAGCTTCCTTTTCATATTGAATAAGCTGGTTTCAGAGACTGGTTTTTAGTGTGTTGTTGTGGCCAATTCTCTGTGCTCAAGTTTCTTTTTAAATGTAATAGGTTAGGAAAATCTCTGAGCTGGACTGGGAAAACAGCTTTTTTGCTGTCATGAATGGGCTACTGGGCGTTAGGGTTCACTGTCTTGACCTGAGTAGTGTGACACAGCCTCCTGGAAATGTGATAAACTTATGGGGAAGTTTCTAACAAGTTAGAAACTGCGTAAGACTTAGAAGAGAGAATAAGGTAGTGGAAAAAGAAAAAAGAATATGCATAATATTCCTCAGAAAAGCCCTGAAAAATTTCTTCTGATAAGAATGGGCGAAATCTGCTTTGAAGCAAGAGAAAAGGAAATTCATTCAGTGGTGATCATTCTGATGAAACCTGCAGTTTGGTTCATTGAAAGCGTGGAAGAGTTCCCCACAGTGGTTTTGAAAGACGTCAATGTCTCACTATTCCCCTGTGTGTGTGGCTTGGATTAAATGTACACAAAGGAAAAAGTTAAGAGTCAAGGGACTGCACCTGGCTCAAGAGAAGCCAGGGTCTCTTCACTTCATTGCCTACCTGCAGAGGCTGCAGAAAATGTTCTTTCCCTGAATGTGTCCCTGGCCAGATCATTATCCCTCACTGCACCAGTCCTGCCAGGACACATCTGTTTGTGCAAAATCTGATCCAGCAAAGCCTGCTGTTCTTTGAGAGACAGGAGGTTTCAGGACATGCAAGATGCACAAGAAGTTTCCACTTGGCCCGTAGCCAATAACTGTTTCTCTTTTTGTCCACAGGCTCCACAGTATCGGAATTAGTTGTGATGGGAGAGGTTGGTCAGAATGTCACTGTGCCCTGCCACTACAGTGTGGGGGACAGAAATGGCATCACATCCATGTGCTGGGGTCGGGACAGGTGCCCCAGCTCAAAGTGCTCCCGGCCCATTATCTGGACAGATGGCTGGAGGGTGACACAGCAGCACAGCAGCAGGTACCAACTGAAAGGGGACCTGCAGAGCGGGGACGTGTCCCTGACGATCGTGAACGCCAGGGAAGCAGACTCTGGGATCTATTGCTGCCGTGTGGAGCCCCCAGGCTGGTTCAATGATCAATTAATTAATCACAAGGTTGTGGTAAATAAAGGTGAGTGCAGAGGAGTGCTCTTGTGAGTACTGTTGTGGTGGATCTGCTCCTGGCTCTGGACTTCAAAGCTTGTAGTGGAAATGATTTCTGCAATCATCCATGAGACTGATCCTGAGGACCTTGCACAGCTGCTGTTAGTGGTTCCTCAGTTCAGCTGTCTTGGGCAATGTTGTTATCCCACTGCAGCCACTGCAATTAAAAAAGGACATGATGCTTTCATGGAGCGTTCTTAGAAACACTGAAACATTTGAAAGAAAGGGCAGCATAAAGTATTCATCCAAAATTTTATTGCTGCACCTTTGTCATTGAAAGCTGTGTTTGATTTTCCCTGCTTGATTCTAGATGAAAGCCCAGGGATGCAAAATTGGTATAGAGAAGCTTTTTATCAGTTCTTCCTTTGATTTTTCATTTTTCCCTTGCTTGTGATACTGTATAGAACAAGTGGCTGACAAATGTACTTCTGCTTTGCTAGAAAATTTTTATTATGGAGACACTGTCTCTTTCTCACTATACAAATACCCAATAAGGTTAATTATGTGTTGATTTTGTTTTATGTTTTTAACATCAGCAACGATCTCTACTGCAAGTCCTCACACTTACACCCCTGAACAGACCTCAGGTAACTTTTTCTGGGTGTTAACAGCATATACAAGCCATATTGCAAATGGGGAATCTTAGGAAGGAAAAAAATATGATGATAGATGATAGAAATGTCTTGGCTAAAATTTATTAAACATTACCAAAGATCAGAACTTGGATTTAAATTTTGCTTGATATTATAGAGTCTCACAGAAGGAACATGTACATTTGGGAGGAAGTTGCTTCCAGATGTGATGCTTAAGTAGATGTTACAGTGGTGCTGCAAGGTTTGCCTTTATTTGACTGTTATTTTGGTTTGTTGGCTTTTTTTGTGGTATAAAATCTAACCTCATCTTCTAGAAAAGCATCCCATTAATGGTAAAACACAACTGTTTAATCAGAACTGTTTTATTGGACTAGTTCAAAAGAGCATCCAATTAAGGCTCCTGCCTCCTGTAGCAGTCAGCAGCAGATGATTAAGGAGGATAGTAGAAAAATGGCATTAATTTTGTGATACAGTACCAAATTATTCTTCCACCCTGGTTTAAGGTGTGTCCCAGAGGCTGCCCACGGCCTCTGTGCACATCTAATGATGTGAGGTCCCTCACTGCAGGGGAAGAGACAGTGCTCAGCTATTCCTCACTTGTTTTCTACATTCCTCTCACAAGAGGATAAACTTCTATCATGAACCCATTCAGCTGCATCTTTTCCAGTCAGAAAAAGACAACTTTAATTTCCACTACACAAGAGAAACCTCGTGGTATAGCAATGGCTTATTCTCTGGATTCTGAAAAGAAAGAATCAGGGATGCCATTTGTATTTCTTCCTTATCTTGGATGTTTCCAGCTAAGCAACTCCAAATTAGTGTTACTACAGTTGCATTTCCTTTTTGGAAGGAGAAGTGAAAACTTTCTCAGACAGTTTCTATTCTAGTTGCAAGTAACATTGATTCCAATCTTAGAACTCAGGGGTTTTCTTATCCCTGTGACCTCTTCTTTAGCTGATGGTGGAACAGTGTTTGAAGTTTTCAGAATACAAGGCAGTGTATGCATGTTCACACAGAGGGAGATTGGAAAAGGCAGGTGGCCATGTGGCTCTGATTTAGAAATACTCCAGAATCTCCATTGGAAGCTGATGATCCTGTCCTCTTCAAAGTAGAGCTTCTGAGATAAGGGTAACAATTTCAAACATAAAAGCCACCAGCTGGGGTTGGCATAGAGTGAACAGGAGATTTTGTTTTCAGGAGGTTTTTTATGTCATCTGACAACACAGGGAGAAACTGAGACTGATGATAGATAAGACAGAAATTTGTAGCTTTTAATTTTAAATGTTGCAAACAGCTGTGCTCTGGGAAATTACCTCAAAATGTGCTGCAGGTCCTTATGCAAAAATATCACATTTTGTTCAGTCTGTTTACTGTACAGCTGCCTGAGGCTTTAAAAGTATCACCTGCTTTATGTGACTCTGCATCATGTGCTGCTTCAAGGCCCTGAGCTTCATCAGTTTTCAGCTGATAACCTAAGTTTGCTTGATGCATCATTTTTTGCTTCAAGGCCAGGTTGGATGGGGCATTGGGAAACCAGGTCTAGTGGAAGACGTGGAAAAAGTGGATCCCACAGCAGGGGATTGCAATGATATGGTCTTTAAGATCCCTTTCAACACCATCTGTTTTATGATCCTATGGTCACTGCTTCTTGGCTCCAGAACTGACTGGTAACTCCTTCCCACTGTTGAGATAACAGCGAGAGCCAAGTATTTCTAAGAAAGAGTTCAAATCTCTGGAAAGGACAGCAGAAACTTCAATATTCAGAGTTTTGTGCTGCCCTCTGAAGGCACCAACTTATGATATGCAGAGCCCAGTTCACTGTCTTCTGATACACACAGAAGTTTGGGGTCCCAAGTCAGCAGTACAAATTCTTCTCTGTTGAGGCAGAGCAGTTCTCTGTGCAAGTGATGTGTTTGTCTTGCCTTTGCTCAGCTCCTGGCAGCACCAGTGAATCCTCCTTTACTACCACAAGGACCTGGCCATCGGTTTCTGCTTCAGAAGCTCCTCAGACTGTAAGCATCAACCTTGCTGTAGCACACCTAGACAGAGTGGATGGGCTTGAGAGGTTACTGAGTCATCCCTACAGGTCACTTCCACTGCTTTTGTCTGATTGCAACAGAGTATTGTTTTGTAGTCTGTGTTTTTAGTGGTTATAAAGAGTGCTTATGTGCTCATTATGAGGGGTGGGGGGGGGAAAGACCCTGCTTAGCATGCATAAAGTACTTCCCTCTAGAGGAGGAAGAGCTTTAGCAACATCTGTATTTCCTTTCAGGCCTCTACTCCGTGCTCAGGACTCTCAGACTGCTTGGATAGGACTACAAACCAGCAGGTATGACATGATGTAGGCAAGAGTGGAACTTGGGCCACCTGAGAGCACAGTGGAGGTCAAACAGGCAGCTCTGTGTGTCCTGCTGAGTCCTGCAGTGACATCAGGAGACATCTTACTCATTAAAAAAAATCACCAAATATCATTAAACCTGAATAAATGGCATTTGTTATAACTTCAGGTCTTCTGAAAATCTCAAAGACTGTGTTTAACAGCACGGTTCACACAATTGTTGCAGAGATTCTGCTTGAAACTGGACCCGTTTCTCAAATTAGGCTTTTGGTCTCAGGTGTACTTTTCCTGCAGAGTTGCAAAAGACACAGAAGTTCTTTGGGTATTGCATGGACTTCTTGCTGTCAGTTCCAGTAATGCTCCTTGGCTTGTGTTTGACAGAACACGTCTGTATCGCTGCCCAGTCAGCAGCACCCAGAACGTGGGCTGTACATTGGGGTTGGCTCATGTGCAGCACTTCTGCTCATCCTGATTTTGGCTCTGTTCCTCACTAAACGTAAGTACTTCTCATAGGCAGTTACTGAAGGATTGTTCAGGTTTGTGCAGTCACAGCTGTGGCTGATGCCACATCTCCCACTTCAGGGAGCTGAGATCCCTGGAAGCCTCTGAGCTGTGGCTGCTCACAGTGGGAATTTCCTGTCCTGAAAACATTTGAAGTTCCCTTATTTAGTTTTTTACACTTTAATTTATCTTGGAACCCACTACTTTTCTTCTAATTGTTTAAACAAAATGATTTGTTTAAATTATTGTTTTTTTCTTTATTTTCATTCTGGATGGTCCTTAGAATATTTTTACAACACAAAGAAGATGGGTGGTTCTGCAGGGTAAGTTTTCTGTTCCTGCTCTTGCTAATAGGACAAGTGAGGTTGCAGAAAAATAAATGTCAGTGTGCTGACCATTCCATCACATACTTTGGCTTTATTTTTTAACCTCAAGTTAATAGAAAAAAAATATAAAAGAAACTAATAACTCCTACTTCTTGTTACTCAATAAGAAAAAGTAAGTGTCACTGTCATAGCTTAGCATGTCATAGCATTAGGGAGCTTGCTAACCTCAGGTGTGAATTGTCTCATAAGTGGAAAGATGATTCATCATCAGTCATGATCACATGTTTAAGCATATTTTACATTTTCTAGTGAGCTGGTTGATCTGTTCCTATGTGGTTTTATTGTCTGTTTAACACCATGGTTTTTACTCTTTTGTGCAGCTTTGTTGTATTTCAGAGGCCACAAGGTGTGGGGAGCCATACTGCCCTGGAAGATGAGAGTCATGCAGAGGAAAATGTTTATATCATGGACTAAGGACTGGATGCATGGCTGCCTTTGTCACTGCTAGGACATTAAATAGTTTGCAAAATGTTGGCTGCTCCCTCTGTTCAGCAGCTGAACGTGACTGCACTACTGAAGCATTATTCACATCCTAATAATAAAACAAATAAAAGCTACTCTTTTAATTAAAATCTTTTTCAGCCTGCTCCAGAGACAGAAACCAAAACTGGCATTGGTGGAACTTCCATTTCCTAAAGAAAGTTGTGATTATATTTATTATCTGCTTCAAATTCTTTTTTCCTTGTTGGAAAAAAAAAAAAAAAAAAGAGGAAGTGCCAGAAGGGCACAATTGTGTTCACTGTGGATTCCATCTGTCACCTTCCACAGAGTCTGTGCCATCAGAGGGCAGAAGCAATCTCAGAGCTGTGTGACAAAGATGTCACAGGGGCCAATCTTGGTAGTATTAGTAATTTAATACACACTGAGTTGTATTTTCATTGAAATCAGGTATGGCCTGTTCTGGTAACAGTTCAGTAATGCAATATACTAATGCCTGTCCACCTGGATTTAAATCTGGAAGGGCCATGGCTGCTCAGCCCCGAGGGGATATCCTTGAAGCCTACAGCATCAGCACATCAGTGGACAGAACAGTCACAGCTTGTGTGCAGAGAATTAAGTGTGATGCTTTTTGGCAAAGTGCATCACTGATTTTCTGTGGTTTTCTCCTTGGGCATATCTTTACCCTGAGAAGCCCTTGGGGTGGAAAGTCTCATTTCCAAATGTCTAGAAAATCTGAACAACCTTCCCACCTATCTTTTTAAAATTAATGGAATTCTTTTCTTAGCTTGCAGAGAAATCATGGGCATTGCACAAAATATTGGCTGGAAGTTGGCCTTGCCTTCACACATGTCTAGATATCAAACAACTCTTAATTCCTAAGAATGTTGAATGTGTTTGATGGATTTTACCTCATAAATGGGAAATATCTGTGGCCAAGTGCCTTTCCTCTATTGCTTCTCAGTTAGTGATGTGCCTCAGCTTTTATTCTCTGCAAAACTAAACTTTGATTTACTTCAAATGAATAAATAAATGGAGTCAGTCCTGTGAGTATGAGTTGCTGAGGAAGAGACACAACACACCCAAATCATCTGTAAATGGAAGAATAATTGTCCCCAGTTTTTTTTTAAGAACACATTTTAAACAGAGGTTGGAGAAAGAGCTGAAAAGCAGCACAGGCAGGAGAGACCCCAACTCCTACCAAATTTTGGTCAAATCATTGCTGCCACAGGAAAAACAGATGCACCACAAACTTTCTACCATTGAGGTAATTTTAAACTCCAAAACTATTTCAACAATGCAACGAGGCATAAAGGCACAATAATAAAATCAGTGAATATTTATGTTAACAGCTGAGACACTTGAGGCTAGGATCTGGTTGTGCTTTTGGGGGAGCTGGGGTCAGTGGAGAAGTTGTCCCTCCTTGTCCCAGCTGGTGGAGATGGGAGGGCTTGGGCTGGCTGGGGAGGGCAGTGGTTTCCCCAGGGGTCACACCTAGCTCAGGTGAGGTTTTGCAGATGAGTGTTCATGCAAAGAGTCACAAAGGAGGGAAATGTTGGAGGTTTTTTCTCACAAGTGGGACAGGACTGCTGGGTGATGTGTCACAACCTTTTGTTTTGGGCACCAAACTTGTGCCATAGGAGATGGCACAAGCTCATGTCTGCCATGAGCAGCTGATCTCTTTGTTATAGAGCATTTTAAAAGTTTTTCAGCCAATAGCATATTGCTAAAGCTCACAGACAATTGTTCCATTCAATCACTAAAAGTATACGTACTCCTTCTTCAAACAATGTTTATTTGTTTTCTTTCTATTTACAATACATAATACTCTATTATTAAGCTTAAAACCTTCTACTATCTTGGTAAGCATATTTTTCTGCACTCTTAAGTTCTATCTTGACCAAGCCTAAAAACTCAGCTATTGTTTAATGTCCTTGCATATTGTATTACTGTATCTTCTTTACTTTCAGGCTTTGCAGCTGCAGTTAGCTGTAAGTTCTCTGTTTTTCTTTTCTGAGGCCTATTTTCACAGCTTCTGAAAGTCTTCTTACTTTCACTGTTTTACACAGGAAAGGTTCATCCTGCTAAGAAAGGAAGAAATGGAAAACAAACTGGGACAGGTGACCTTGGGGTGCTTTGTGTTTTCACTCGTGATCTCTGTTCTTCTGGGATCTCTGTTGTAGCAGGCTGAAAAGGCTGAAATTGAAGGTGAATTCATGGCTGACTGAAGAGTGGGAGCACAGAAATTGGGTGATCACTGATCCCAGGGACACGAAAAGTGATGGACAAAACCAGCTCTGCCAGTTTCTGTCTTCACATTGTGTGTAGCTTTGTGGAAGAAGGTACTGAAACCAGAAAGGACCTGCTTGCGTCAGATTGTATTTTTGCATTTGACTATTAATAACAATTACTAACCCGAAGTCTCTGCCCCTGCTGCAGATGTTGCTTTCCTTTTGCCCAGCTGAGGATGTTGCTGCTGCAGGCTCCAGCCCATGAGAGGAGCTGGAGGAAGTCTGATCTGGTCTCTGAACTGGCTCTCAGGAAACATCTTCAGCAATTTCTGCTTTCTGCAATTTTATGTAATCAGTCTCTGCTGGGGTCAGAATTAGACATGTGTGGGATCTCCAAAATCATCTGATTTCAACTTCCTATGCTCTTATGGAGTTTGTGGGCCAGCCTTAAGACTCCTAATCATAAAAGATGCTTGTCCGTAAGGACTTTTATATTAATATTAAAGATTAATTCAGGCTAATTCTTGCTGTTTTTAATGTAATTTTTTTTTTAATTAAAAAAAAGGTTTTAATGTAAAATAAACTTCTAGAGTATCTGATAACCAAAATCTTGAATCAAGCAAAATCTTTCTGCTTTGCAACTGCTTGGTAAACAGACTTTACACACATCCACAAAGGCAGAAGCTCCCTGGGCCTCTCATTACCTGCACTTGTGTCAGTGGATCTTGGAACAGGCATTTCAAACTGAGCCTGAGAGACAAGCAGGTGGCACTTGGAACCCATTCAGCCATCAGGAGATTGTCTGGCAGCACACTGAGCTGATGAGGCTGATGGGCTGAAAACTCTCTTTTTTGAGACTCCTCTGCCTTTCCTACCTGCAAGAAGCCACTAGATAGCAGTACAGAGGCAGAGAGTGACCCATGTGTCTGTGGTTCTTCCCAGCACACTTGGAGTTTGGATGGTGTTTTCCAGTGCACTCTGCTGCTGTTGGCCCAGCCTTGCTATAAAAACAAAGCTGATGGGATGCTGTGCTCATCCTGTGCCTTTCCTGGTTGCCTGTGACATACTGTCCAGTCCTGTCTGGACAAGCTTCATGGAAATTTGTAGCTGAATAATGACCCAAGATTGTGCCTCAGGTGAGATTCAGCTGCTCCCTGCACTGGCATCAGCTGAACATCAGCTCACAGCCACTGCTGGGTGGTGAGTAATGGGAGAAACTGTGATCATTGAAGAGAAAAAATCTTCAGGACATTGGATGCCTCAGGTTTCATTAGTTCTGTTCACAGAGCAGCTGGGGCTGTGCCACTGTATGAACTGTACCTGGTAGAATATTGGTATTTTACTCATTGCCTTTACTGCTAAAATTTTATTTGCTTTTTTCAGTGCTAGCAAGCAGAAGGGTGATATTTTCATGGGCTTGACTATCATGATAAGCCCAAAATCTCATTACTTAAAGTGTAATGCCTGGTTAAAAGCCCATCATTTTATCATTTGAGCTTGGAATTGCACTCCAGTTTGCACTGCACTACATTTATTTGCACAGAATTTTGTCTATCTGCAATTCTTCATTCCTGACCTTACTGCCCTGAATTACTTTTGCTTTATTACTCAGCTGTTTCAGAGAAGAACTTCCAGAGAACTTATTTGTCAATTGGTCAGAAAGAAATAAAACAGTCAGAAGGAGTGAAATACATTTCTTGAAGATGATGTTGCATTTCTTTGGGAAGGATGTGGTTTTGGCAACAAAACATTTGCAACTTCCTCCAAGGCTATCTTTGCAAACAGAAAATACGAAGTTGGGGAAAGAGAGGGGTCTTTAAGCAGAAGGCAGAAGCATGGGAAATGAGGGATTAGGCAAATGTAAGTGAAGAGAAAGTCTGAGGGGAGATTGTGCCAAATATTTAGGGGTGTAGAAGCACAGAATTTGTTCTCAGGACCCTGGAACAGAAGTGGGCCTTTAATGTTCCAGGCAATGGCAAAGCAAATAGAATATTGAAATTTCTGGTGATAATACCATGCTGAGTGTCTTGGAAGAGGAAAGGTGAGAAGGGCAGCCTGTTCCCAGGGTTTACTGCCCTCTTGCTAAACACTCCCCAATGTCCAGTGTAAACCCCCCTGGTGAGCTTGGAATCATCCCCACGTGTCCTGTCAGTGGATACCAGGGAGGAGAGATCAGCACTTCCCTGTCCACATCCCCTCCTCAGGAAGCTACAGAGAGCTCTGAGCTCCTCTCAGCCCCCTTTTCTCCAGCCCTGGATCCTCAGCTGCTCCTTGCAGGACGTTCATTCCAGCCCTTGCCACCTGCTCAGCTGGCACCATCTGGGTACATTTAAGTACCTGAATGTCCTTAAATGGTGCAGACAGAGCTCCAAGTGTGGCTGCAGCAGCGCTGAACACACTGGGAGATCCCCTCTCTGGCCAGTTCCTATCCGGAAGCGTAGGAAAGAAACGCAGCGTGTAAAATCTGGAAATGGAGAAATGAGACTTCAGTGGGACTCACTCAGCGCCTCTGGAAAGGAAAAGATCTGGTTTTCTCTTCTTCCACTTGCTGCCCTGGTGTCTCCATCAGCCAGAATGTCCCATTTTGTGCTGTTTCACTGGATGATGATACAGATCTTTATAGGTGAGTCTTCACCTGGTTTTTGTGCGTTTGCTCAGGAAACTAACTTTTCTTTTTTTCAAATGAAAACCAGCAACACTTGTTTTATGAAAACTGAACAGTGAAAAAGATCATAATTGTATATAGAACTTCAAAAATTTTCTTAATTTACTGAGTTAATACTGCTTGAGGTTTGCGGTTTTTTCACTTCTAAAAATTTTTGCAGTTTCTTCTGTGTTAGTGCCCTTGTTCTCTTCCCTTGCAGAGCTCCTGAAGGATGAGAATGTTTTTTTGTTACCTGCTTTTAACTCAGCTCCATGCTGAGAATGTGTTGTCTTGAGGTTCAATAGTGAGTTAAGTGCTTTTTTTCTGTTTATAGTCATATCCTCTGCAATCTCATCAGCAGAGAAGCTTCAGTAAGGAAAAAAAAAAAAGAAAGGATTGATAGGGCAAAATCTTCTGTGAAGTAGGAAAATTATTTCAGGAATAGATCAAGGGAGAAAAAAAAATCTTATCAAACATTTGTCTTTGCTGGAGGATGAACGTTTTTGTCCATCCACTGACCACTTTATGGGAGAGAAGACAACTGCAAGAGCAACTATTGGAATTACTGCTTAGTGCCAGCTGCCTCTGAGGGTGGGTTTGAGAGAGAGACTGTACACAAATATGAGAATACCTGTATGATCTAACCAATTATGAATACCTCTTTCTGTTTTGGATGGGATATTAAACATCTGGAGTCCATTTCTCTCTCACTGATGAAAGACTTTGAGTGGCAAACCTAACAGACTCCAGTGGGAACACCCAGGCAGAACCTTGGGTCAAATCTGGATGCCTGTAAAATCAGGGCCTTGGAGAAGGGCAGGATTCCCTTCACAGCAAGAGCAGGGTTTCAGGAAGCTCTTCATTTCAAAGACCTGTTAATTCCCTCCTATTTACTATTTCCTTTGGAAAATGAGTCAATAGAAGAGGCTGCATCTGAGAAGTAAGTTATTTATTCCTTGCAGAGGTTCATGCTGCTGAATCCAGGCTGCTGCAGCATTGAAGCTCTCCTCACCAGCCTGCAGTGCAGGCAGATGTTGGCAACATTAGCTTCACACAAATTGAAAGAGGATTTGAAACTGCAAAACCTGTAACTTTCTAGCAGGACTACTAGAGGGAAACTTCACTCAAGACACTCGGATGTCTTGTGTCTTTCCTCTTCTTCTTCTAAATTATTTACTTATTTATTTACTACGTTTAGGGCTCTCTTTCTCTCAAAGAGAAGAGCAGGCAAATTTTCATTTTTTAAAAGGTTGCTTAGCAAGGCTATTTTTGTGCTGTGCAGAACTGGGCTGAAATAGCAGAAGATGAACCCATTTCTTCTCAAGAAGCAGTGACCTGAATTCTAGCAACAATTTTAGCTGGTTTTGCACACATCTTTGTTGGGGTGACTTTAAAATATGTGTTAACCTGCTCATGACTAACCCTTTGCACCCACATAAATACTTTCAAGATTTCAATACTGCATATTCTGTCCTCATAGACAGAGGCTGTTTTTTCTGTTTTGCTGTTTCAAGGCAAGCGAACCTTCCCTTTCCAGGGGCCAAAGCCACCATCTCACAAAGCCTTATCCTGTATTCAGGAATTCAGTTTCTGGCATATCCTGCCTTAATTTCACTGCAGAAGCTCATGCCCTTCAGGCTGTATTGCCCGTTGTTTTGTCTGCCTCTATTCTTTCAGCATTTGGAGCAGTGGAAACCTGAATGGGTTGGCTTCTCTTGCCAGTGGGATAAGCAATAACGGATCTGAAATGTCATCCCAATAACAAGTCATGAGGCAGCCTGCCACAGACTGAAGCCTCACCCAGGGAATAGTCCATTAAAGAGAAAACAAAAGAGACACGGACACAGTTGGAAGCATCTGTTTGCTATCTGGGAGTGGTGCCAAAAAGGAAAGGCATTCAAACAGCTGGCAAAATAGAAATGTTTGGCAAACCAGGGCTGAAGCTGGTGATAATAGCAGTGGCAGCAAGTCCTCTTTGGGGTGAGCAAGCTGGCCATGAGATATCAGATCTGCAGGGTTGGAGGACAGGTCTGGTTGCTGCCCAGGTCCCTCAGTTCCTGCTCCATAGTGTGTAAATGATAACATGGGGACAAAAGAAAGGTAGGAAGACTGACACAGACCAGGTGAATGTGAACCAGGAAAGCTTTATTCCTGTCTGAGAACTGTTTTTGTATAGTGACTTTTGTGAAGAAGAAATCTCTTTTAAGGCAATCTGGGAAATCATAAACAGTTAAGAGAGAATAAAACATAGCAAAGATTCAGAGCAGATGCCAAGATGGACATTGGCTGTAAACACCGACTAAAGCTGGTCAGTAAGAGTAAGAGGACAAGGAAAGCGTGTATGTGCTCTTTTTAACATCAATATGACACCAACAACTAAAGCTTCTGTGTAGAGAGTTCCACAAGGTAAGTGGGATGAGTTGGCAGGACTTGCTCAGTGCACTTTCTGAGAACAGGTTCCTACAGACAGATCCCACTGCTCTGCCAGCTTAATTAGGCCCTAATTTCACACATGAAAAGGTATTTTGGACCCTGCTTTTGAGACAGTCAGTGAAAGGCAACTGTGACAGCATTTCCTTTTCGAAGGAGGTGATGGTGGGCTGGGAAAACCAGATGTTTTTCACAACAGGGTTCTGAACAACTTTCAAACAGCCTCCCAGGAGAGGAGACGGGACGGGAGCAGAGTTTTCAAATTCCATTTGCAGAGGTCCCACCTGTGCTCGGGCTGTCAGCGACAGACCCCAGCTTTGCTCACCACATGTCTGATGCATTTTATGAGCCTCCCTCCAGCAGCTAGCCAGGACCAGAGCAAGGAGCAAAGCCAAGAAAGCTGTTGTCTGTAGTGCCTCAGGCCACCAGCTGCCACAGGCTCCAGGAGAAGCCGTGGGGATCAGCAGCTGCGGCCTGCCTGCGGGCAGGAGCGTTTCTTCTCAGGCTGCTCACTCCCTGTGTTGTGTGGGCAGAGTCACCATCAGAGACACACTCAGCTCTCCCTGTTCTCCCCTGCAGCACACACGGTGTCTGAAGCAGTTGTGAGAGGAACAACAGGACAACCTGTGACACTGCCCTGCTCCTACCGCGTGACGCACCGCACGGGCATCTCCGACATGTGCTGGGGCAGAGGCCCCTGCCCCAATTCAAAGTGCAGGAACAAAATTTTGCACACCACTAGCAGTGAGGTGACGTTCAGAGTGTCGCAGAGGTACAACCTGCACGGCTCCGTGTCCTTCGGGGACGTGTCCCTCACCATCGGGGCGGTGAAGGCGGAGGATGCGGGAATTTACTGCTGCCGTGTGGAGATCCCCGGCCCGTTCAACGACATCAAGCGGAACATACGGCTGGAGGTGGCCAGAGGTGGGTCTGGGCACCTTGGGGAGTCCCCAGCACGGAGAAACCACTCCCTGGGTAGTGAAAATTGGGGACTATGTGTGCTTTTTCGGTTTGTTTTGGACAAAGGTGTTTTTCCCAAATTACGTATTTTTCAAGGGAGATCCACAACCGGTTGCCAATTTGAGTCACAGTCAATGTGTGGTTTAGATTAAAAAAACCCCTAATTTTACCTTTTTTTTACCTTTCAAATGAATATTTCATTTCTCGTTGTGTAGCTCTGCTTGACTTTTTAAAAGATGATGGAATTAAAAAGGGATTTATAATTTAAAGAGCCCTTGGAATGAAATTCAGTTTTTCATTTGACGTTCACCCTAACACTGAAAAAACTTTTGTTTCATTCATGTCATAAGGAGACGCATTAGGATGACCCACCCTTAAGGGTGCTTCCTTCCCCTTAAGGGTGGGTCCTCAACATCCACATATTTGGAAATTTTGCCTCAGAGTCTTGAAGGTCTTCTTCCCCTTCCTATTATTTTTCTGAGCTGCAGGATAAAGCAAGGTCTTGCACAGAAAAGAAGAGATGATAATCCACTCTCCACAAAGCAGAAAGATAATTTTTCTCTGGCTTTCACAGAGTGCAATTGGTGTTCACAGCACATTTATTTGTCTTTTTTAAGCAATGCAACAGGAGAGAAGGTGAAAAGCACTGCAATTGCTTGTCTGCCTCTGAGGCTGAGGGCAACACTCCATGAAAGAAGTACCAGTTGCAGAGATTAGCAAGAAGATTGTAGCTGAAAAACCAAGCTGTTTTATATACTGTATTTTTATGAGGACATTGAAAAGGAAAATAACAAAGTTTTCAAGCTTTGGGGTTTTACCACACAAGGTTCTGACCCTTCCAATTCTACAAGAGGGTTAAGGAGGGGGTGTTTGAGACTGGTAAAAGAAAAGCAAATCTGTAAATCTGTATATTTCTCTGATTGCTCGTGCTTTCAGATAATTAAAATAGCTTTATGAATAGTAACTCTCCCACCTTCATTTTTAGTATTTTAGCAGCCAGATAATTTTTATTCATTTCTGCGTTGGCTTCCCTCAGGGTTGGTTGTGAATGCTCTGACTGTGCTTTTCCCTTGGCTGTGTTTTTTCCATGCAGCCCCTCCGGTGACCACCACAACCACCACCACCACCACCACAGCTCCTGTTTTCTCCAAATATATTACAGAAACAACTTTTGCTCCTCAAGCAACCTCTGATCTCCAGCCAACACCAGAGACTGCAGTCTGGCTGACAAACAGCATCCTTCTACCAGAAACCACAGCCCCTGAGTCTCCAACAGTGACTACAGGGGAGATCTCTGCTCCCTCAACAATTTCTAGCACAGAAAATGACATTTTTACTGTAACTATGGTGGAAACGAGTGCTCCCCCAGATTTTCCAACTACTTCCCAAGCAGCTGATGTGATGACTGAAGATGTCATGCTCTCCTCCACACTCCCTGGAAGTACAGAGGGTAACCAGCACCAATCCTTTCCTTTTTCTGTGTAGCAGAGATAGTCTGTGCTAGGCCCCACAGAGACTCTTCAAATACTTATGTTTATATCTGGGAAGTTCTCTCTGAAATGCCTGTGGGTGTGTTTCAGGGGGTTTAGGCAAACAGAGGTCAGATGTTGTAGAAGATGCTAAATTGGGGTGTACAGCCAAGGCAGCAGAGGGTCAGGCTTCCTGCAGAGGAGCTTTAACATGGAGAAATAATGTGCCAGAAACCTCATGAGGTACAACAGAAATAAATGCAAAGCCCAGCACCTGAGGTGGAGTAACAGAGATTCGCTTAACTGTGCACTAGTTTTTTTCTTGATTTGGGAAAGACAATTGAAATTGCCTGGTAAAAAGTTTAGTTTAGAGTATGTTCTGCTTGAGAAATAGTGAGAATTAAAAACATGTTTAAAACTGAGTATTTACATTCTGATCTCATATGAAGGCTGCTGCTGTTGTTAGTGATCAGGGTGACCTGTTATCAAACCATTTGTAGGTTGCTACTTTATCCACATTACTGACTTAATTTCCATAGATTGATGTCTGCACAAGTTTGAATGCTGTGTGGAGACCCTTCTAATTAGTGATCTTTATAAGCTTTACTTTTAATTTTATTTCAGTGACTTCTGAACTCCCAGGTACACTTCCAACTTCAGTGATTACTGAATTCCCAGGTACACTTCCAGCTTCAGTGATTACTGAACTCCCAGGTACACTTCCAGCTTCAGTGATTACCGAATTCCCAGGTACACTTCCAGCTGCAGAGGAAACCAGCAGCTCTGTCATGATAGAAGAGATGTCAGTCATGGGTGAGTAGGATAACATTACAAGGTCAGAAGTTGCTTGCTCAGAGAAATTAAAAAGTTGGCAGAAACAGGAGTGTTGAGTGTTCTTAAGAGTGCACCAAACCAGTACTGATAGTTATTCATTGCAACTGGCATTGAGAAGTATCCAGGATTGACACAGTAATAGTTTGAAATCAGAATGTAACAACAGCCAAGAAAAACATGTTTTTATACCTCCAAAGGAAGTTGATTTTGCATAACTCATGACTGTCATGTATCTCAGAGCTGAGAGAAGTCAAAAACTGAATTTTTCAACATCACTGAATTCTCAGATATCTGATTTGTCATCACTATGAGCTCACTGAGATTAAATTGGATATTAAGAAAAAACGCTTCTTTATGAGGCTGGTGAGGCCCTGGCACAGGGTGCCCAGAGAAGCTGTGGCTGTCCCATCTCTGGAAGTGTTCAAGGACAGGTTGGATGGGGCTTGGAGCAACCAGGGACAGTGAAGCTCTCTCTGGGTTTTCCTGTTTCTTGATGAAGGCTGACATTTTCCACGGCTTCCTCAGCCACCACTTGTGGTGGAAACTGATCCTTCCCCCTTAGTTGCAAGGTGCTTTTGCCCTTCTCATTCCCTGAGAGTTCATTTCTCCTTGACTGAAGTAGTGAAAGCCACTGCAGCCCTCACTCCTTCAGGTGACTGCCAGAAATAATTTCAATCTTTTTCATTTTCAGAGGTTTCAGCAAATTCAGATGGCAGTGCTGGGAAACATGAAGATAGACGAGATAAGGTAAAATCTCCTGTAAGTTTCAAGAGTGTTTGGGTAGAAATCAGTCACTACAGCAGGACATGCTAGTGATTTTCAGTGTATTCATACTACAGAAATTGCTTTTGCAAACAGGGGCTTGAAGTTTTATTTAGAAGCTCAGGTACCACCTGTTCCTCTTTTCAGTGGATAGAGCCAAAGCCTGAGCATTCCATCTGACTTGGACACTTCAGAAAAAACTCATCCCCTCGCATCCCTGTGAGAGAGAGGAGGTAACATCCTGAGGGTGTGAGCAGGCAAAAGGCAAAGTTAGGAGGGCATTACACCTCCCTGTCTCTAAGAGAAGGATGGGGGTGACTGAGCTCCTACTTCTACTTTGAACACCTCATGGAGAAGTTCATGTTAAACGGGATGAATCTGGTTTCAGTATTTCAGAATAAGGTTTATTAAGTACTGAACAGGTAAATTAAGTTGTTTATCAGGATCAGCTAGATGTATCTTCTCAACACCTTATACAGGCAAGCTCAGAACAGCATTTCTAACTGCAGCCCAGTGCTCTGAGCCACCAGTGCAGCCCCTCCTGTGCAAGTAGCTCTAAGACAAACCTGCTCCCAAAGCCTTTTCAGTTTCCTTCTTCTCCCTTCCAGTTTCCCAGCTCTGCCATTCTCATTGCCTGTGTCATAGGGGGTTCAAGCCTTCTCATACTGATGATCTCCTTGGTTTGGAAACGTAAGTATCCTTCAGCTAAATGATTCTAATTCTGGCCTGATGCACGTGTCCTCCTGAGTCCCTGGTTGTTCTGGGAACTCTGCCATGCTCCTGGTGACAGTGCTGTGTTTGTTTTGTGGGAGTTGCTGTCCTTACTCCAGGACTGTGGCACCATCAGGGGGCCAGGGAGGATGAGTTGGTGAGGATGCAGCAGGAGACAGGCTGTGCAAAGAATCTGTTCCCTCACTGGTTGCAGGGCTGGCTCATCCTGTCTTTTTATACTTAAGTGGCCCCATAGTTTCCTGGAAATGCTCCCAAAAGACACTGGTGTAACTGAAGTCAGGATGGGATCCTTTCTTTCCTGCTTAGCCCACAGAAACTTTGCAACTTGCTGTCGTTGCTTCTGAGCTCGTTTGACAGATACATTAGAATTATAGATTTCGTTTTGCCATTGTAACATTAATATTATTTTGCTTCCAGGTAAACAGGCAAAGAAGTTTATAGTAAAAAGGTAATCCATTTTGTAATTTCCTATTAAAAGTTCCAGTGTAATTTTTCTTGGAGACAGGAAGGTATTGGCCACTGATTGTAATGGGTGCAGTATTGGCTTGTGGTGCTGATTACCAAAGTTGTATTTGGAGGAAACTTCAGGTAACTTCACTCCAGAAATTCAGTAATGGTTCCTGGATGCTGCTTCCACGTAGGAATGAACAGAAACCCAGAGCAATGGAGAAATTAAGGAACTGTTACTGCAGTGTAGTGACTACAGCTTAAGGAAGTGCTTCATCTGCTTTTATTTTTGATTGAGTACCAGGACATGATACCTTGTGCAAATGTAATTGATAAGTTCATATCCTCTGGCTTATCTTGAAAAAAAACCAAAAACTTCTGTGGACAAACCACAGGGGAATCCAGTGAAGTATCACCCCTTTTCCAAAGACCAATAATTTTTCAATGGTAGCTGGTCCTTCACTGCTTGCTCTACCTGGGAGACAGGGACTGGGGAGAGACTTTTCTGAATCCCATGGTGGTTACCCTACAGCTGCCATTACAGGGTTTAAACAACCCTTTCCTATCCATGAGAAGAATGCAAGCCAGGTAAATACCTCCCTGGTGTAAAAAGCAGGAGTCACTTCATTGCAGTCATTGGACTCAGGTTCAGGTTTCCTCTTTCATGGGAATTTGCTGATGTTACAAATGAAAAGTAATGCTCTAAAGCACTGATGTCCTTTTGCCCCATCCATAGTGATCTGTGCTTCTCACTGCAGTGTTGGACCACCAGAAGAGACTGACAGAGTTTTCAGTGGTGCTGAAGGAGAAAACAACATTTTTTCCCTGTGAAGAGCTCCTACATCATCTGCAGATGCCATGGGAAATAAAAAGGGCCTGTTCCATGCTGCACTGAGAGATACTTGTGAGCCCTCAAAATATCAGCGGGTATAAAACAAAGGCCAAAGCTTCAACTATGAAAATTTAAAATCTTTGTGCAAATTTTATCATGTCACCCTTAAAACTCATTGCATAAAGAAGCTTATTTGAGAAGGGGCTTTATGCATTATTCATGGATGCTTCTGGCATCTGCCTTCTTACTAACACCATGTTGCACAATTGAATTCATTTTTCTCCATTTTTACTAATGCTCTTCCTTGAATACAACTTGTACTGTGAGGAACAGAAGAGATCACATGGAAGGCTGCCTATCTTCAAATTTCCATAAAGAAAGAAAAGGAATCATAAAATACAGTTTTTAATGCTTTTATGTAATCAACAGAAAAATTAGGCTACAAGAATGCTGTGAGTTTAAATAAAAATTGGAGATTATTTAAGGGGTATCACTACTGCCTGTGATTCAGCATATTTGAATAACCCTTGGAGAATATATTAATAAACTTTGTAATTTGTCGCTGGCAATTGGACTTTTTATGCCATTTCCTGAGGCATTTCAACAGGAGTTAGTTATTTCCCAGGTGTGGAAATGACTGGTGTGCTGTCTCAGCTCTCCAAAGAAATACTGCAGCATTTCCAGAGGTGGGAAAACACCCAAAAGACCAACCTGGAGGGAAATTTCTCTCCCCTGCCTCCACAAATCCCTGTACCACTTACTTCTAAATCCATTAAGGAAGAGGGATTGTCCATGGAGGCTGGGGCATCATTGATGGGATATACTGCAGAGCTTTCCCTGGGGTCCTCAGCCATCCTGCTGCAGTAACTTTGGGGGAAGATCCCAATCCATGACAGAGTTTGTTTTCCCCACTGCCTGGAGCTCATCAGTGCTCGCCATGGCACCTCTGGGCAACGAGAGACTGAAGTAAGAGCACATTGTGGGAACAGCACTGGATCAGAAGCCAGCAGGGTCTGGCAGCTCTGGGTTTCCCCGCTGGCTGTGCTCAGGCTGTGGTGAGACTGTTGAACTCTCCAGTGTCCTCTCACAGGCTGCGAGCCGGGGCAGGCAGGGGAGGTTCCTCTTTGGGCTCCTTCTCGGTCTCGTCTGGGTTCAGAGCCCTGCCCTGCAGCCCGGTCTGGGGGGGCTGTGGGAGGCACAGGAGAGTCCCCAGATGTTGGACGTGGTCTGTGGGCTCCCAGGCTGGGTTTGCTCAGCTGACACCTGCGTCTGTGCCACACCAGTGACTGTCACCACCCCGACACAGAGCACAGGGACCCGGCATCTGTCACTTCTACACATGAACCCACACAAACCTGTGTGGAATAAAAGGAAACAAGCAACAAAGGAAAACCCAAACAATTCTGATGTACTCCTTTGAAAAAGACAAACTTTTCTTTATGCCTTTTTTTTCTCCCACCTAATTAAACCTGCTAATTAAGTCAACAATATCTCCATTGCAGCTTCCAATTGGCAGAGTTGGGCCAATCCTTTTGCTCTTACTAATTAGCTCTTCACTAATGACTTCTTTACAGCAGAGCTGGGTCTCACTTGGGAAGGTTCTAGAAAATTTGCAGTGGTGCTGGCTGGACTTAAAAGCCCTGGTTTTGGGGAGTTGCACAGGGGGAGAAGAGATGGGAGCCAACAAAGTGAGTTTGATCTGATCAGCCATGTGGAAATGCAGCCCTGAGAAGCTGCAGGGAAGCTGTAAGTGTAACTTATGCTACTGAGCATTCTTATTTATCTTCTTATTCAGCCCAATTATTGAGGCAAAGCCTTGGGTTTAGAACAGCAATTGGAAGCAAGGATTTGGGGAGGGTTATGTTTAAATGAAAATTCATTGAAGTTATTTGTGAGGACTCAGGCTGTCAGTATGTTCAGGGAAAGGTTAAAGTGAGTCTTTTAAATGTAGCTGGAGGAAATGCTGCTTTCCAAAAGCAACAGAAGCCCCAGGATGCAGTCTCTGGGTCTAGAGGAGAAAAGCTGGAAGAAAGCAGAAAGTCTTTAGAAGGAAAAGGCTGTCAGACAGGACATCATTGGCATCTGGAAATGTTGGCCTTTATTTTTAAGACTTTTACCTTGGAAGGTAAAAAAAAATACACTTGAGTAAAGATAAAGCACTGTAGCCAAAAAACCCTCTGGTATGGTATTAAAGCTATACACGGGGCAAAGGAGCAAAGCTATTTGCTTTAAAACCACCCTCATTTCTCCAAAACTCCAGTCCCTCCATCCTGGCCTCCCACCATCTCTCAAACTGCCAAGCACCACCAGCTGAAATCACCCAGGTCTGAGGCCTCTCCCCAGCTCTTGGAGCTGCTGGAGTTATCTCAGCATTTATGGACTTGCACAGGGAGCCTGTGGCAGAGCAAAGCAGGTTTTAATTTGTTTAGAGTTCATGTCAAGCCTAAATGTTGTTATATCTGGAGAGTTTGTCTCAGCTCTGTGGAGCAAAGCAGTTAATTAATGAAGGATTTAGCTTTTGGTCCAAGTAATGATTTTTATGGGTCCCCAGTACTTTGTGGACAATTGTCTGTATCAAAATGACTGATTAAAGATGGTAAAGGAGGTCTGACATGAGGAGATAATGACTGAACTGCCAGATTAGTATGGAGGAGGTACAGAAAAGCAATTAAAAAGGGAGATCTGAATATTCTGGGATACGGGATTGACTAATGAGGAAACAGAAGGAAATACTGAAAAAAAAAAAAAAGGCAAGCATTGACTTAGGAATACAAATCCTTTGAAGAGAAACCAGAGGAATGAATTAAATATAATTTTGAGTTTAATAAGAGACCTCTCTTAATAGACTTTATTGGAGCTGACTGTTCTGATGGTCTCTTTCCATCTCAGCAGCATATTTCATTAACCTGTTTCCAGGTTTGTTTCTTTGCCTTAATGTGCATTTCCAGGCATTTTTTAAGGTTAATATAAAAAAAACCTCTTGGTTTCAAAGGTGAAATGTAATTGGAGCTTAAGAAAGAGCAAGCTGAAGGGAAGAATGTGGCTAAGTACATAGGAAATTAGAAATAAGAATAAATAGCATCATGGGACTTGGGGAAAGAACAGAGATAACCACACAGTGTGAGATGAATGCATGAAAAAGTGGAAAATTTTAGCTCGGTAGAAAGAGGAAATGGGACGTGCTGCCACAGACATGACAGCAGATGGCAAAATTGAGCTGCAAAGACTGAGCAGAGAAACATCTGGAGAGGCTGTAAGGTGATACAGATTTGCTGACACCGAGCAGAATCAATGCAGCCTCCTCCAGTGATGATGGAGGTCCCAGCCAGGAGTTCAGCTCATGGGCTGAGCTCATGGCTCCAGGGAATGCTTTCAGCACACTTGGTCTGGGCTCTGGTGGTCTCCAGCAACACGATTTCCAGCCAGTCTCAGTAACACCCTGGTTTTCTTGTGCTCCTGAGGCTGTGGTGACCATGCACTTCTTGGTTTCCTCTTCCCAATGCTCCTTAACCCCAGCTGGGAGCAATGTGGTTTTGGTTTCTCTTGCTAATTTAAAACACAAACCCCAAGACTCAGCAGCTCCTGCAATCACACTGTGGCAACAGTGACCTGGGAAAGGAAATGTCAGCCCTAAACAATCCCACAGCTCACCTCAGCACCCACTCCCTCCTGCCATCCAGCAGGACAGGGCTCTTGGCAAGGAGCCCTCCAAGGAATCACTTTGGAGTGTTTAGGAATTAAGAGAGCACTGTGATTGGAGTGGGGTTTCCCACAGAGGACCCTCATCTCCTCACCCTCATCTCCTTGCCCTGTGGAGTAGAGTCCCAGAACCAATGAGGCTGGCAAAGACCTCCAAAATCATCGAGTCCAACCCACGCCTGATCCCCACCTTGTCACCCAGAGCAGAGCACTGAGGGACAGTTCCTTGAACACCTCCAGGGATGGGGACTGCACCACCTCCCTGGGCAGCCCCTTCCAATGCCCAACAGTGCTTTCAGTGAAGAAATTCTTCCTGATGTCCCACCTGAACCTTCCCTGATGCAGCTTGACACCATTCCTTGTCCTGTTGCTGGTTTTCTGGGGGCAGAGCCTGATCCCCACCTGGCCACAACCTCCTTTCAGGGAGCTGCTGAGAGCAAGAAGGTCCCTCCCGAGTCTCCTTTGCTCCAGGCTAAACACCCCCAGCCTCCTCAGCCTCTCCTCATAGGACTTCTTCTCTAAGCTCAGCTAAAGAGCTCCAAGTAGGTTGAAACTGAGACAGGAAAGACCATGAGGACACTGGGAAGAGAGAGGCAAATTGGAGTGTGCAGATACCAATGGAAGGACTGGAGAGAAAGGTGTTGGGAAATAATCTCTGGTGAAAGTTCATTGCCTTTCTTTAGTCTTTCAAGCACTGACCCTCTTCCAAGGGGAAGGGAAATCTACCACTTCCTCAAATATTTTTTCTTTAATTTTAATTTAGAAGAAAAGAAGCTGAATTTTCTCTGACTATTTTGAAATGCAGCGTCTTTTTTTAAGTATCTAGAAAAAGAGTAAAATTTTGTGGGGGTGTGGTTTGGAGTTTTTTTTGGGGGAGTTCTTGTTTTTTTTTAAACCTAGGTGGTTTTTTTATACTTAAGGAGAAGAGGGGTATGGTAGGTAATCCAAACTAGGGAATAAATCCTATCTGTGGTTATTTTTTCTAAAATAAAGTATATTAAGGCCTGACTCTGTTATCTCATATACATATTCTGTAGTTCTACTGATGTAAGTATGCACTGCATCCTGGAAGGTAGCTCCTTTTCATGCTTAAATGCACATCTAATGAAGATTCATGGCTTCAAAGGTGCTCTCAAGCACTAGAGCTGGTGTCATCCTTAACTAAACCATCCAGTAGTTAATAAACATCCCACAATCATCTGCATATTTAATGCAGGACAGAGAATTTTATGGAACAATCTCTATCTTTTAATCCAGCGATGCATCATTTATGGGATTTTGGATTATTCACTTTGTGCTGAATTAAGTTGTCTCTTTTCACCAAGCGAGCCCCCCGACGTGGGCTGTGTCACTGGCCAGGCTGCCCAGTGATGGATGGTGCTGGGATGAATTATTTATTGGCCATTTTAGATCACTTGCCCAGCAGTGAACTAAGCCAGTTAATTTTACATCGGTTCATCTCCATTCCAAAGTGCACAAAATGGTTTCCATGTTCATGAAATTCATCTCTCTTCCTTCCTCCCCCTCTTCCCAGTGCACTGGTGAGTTACCCATGAGTTTTGGGTGAGTTTGGGATGCAAACTGTCCCTTAGGGGGTGTGGTGACAGTGTCCTGGCGTGGGGGACTGTTTGTCCAGGCTGGTTCTGGTTCTTCAGCTCTCACTTGTGCCTTACTTTAAAAGCTGTGGAATGGAAATAGCTGTGACTCCTTAGCTTGTCATGCATGTGGTACAATCCTCTTTAGTCCACAGGGCTGTGCAAAGAATGTGTCAATGGAGCCAGTTAGGGTGAGGAAACTCCTGGAGACTGTAATGATCAAGCACTGATTTGTTTTTTTAATTATTTTAAATTTTATTTCTACCTGTAACCTCAGCCAGTGCTGGGGCAGAGCCCTCTCCCAGGGCTCTCCTGTGAGCTCTGCTTCAAGGACAAGGGATATTCAGTCCCTCAGTGGAGCAGAATCAATGCTGCTTTTGAATTCTGCTTGGTGTTTTATGCCCTTGGTCCATTATCTAATGGGGAATATGATGAGGTAATTATGGAAATACACAAATTGCAACCTCATGAATACCAAAGAAATTCGTGATGATCCATGCTAAAAGAATGCATAAAAATGCAAATCATTTGTAAATGGGGAGCAGTAAATCTTGTTAGTATTAATAACTTAGAGCATTTAATTGCATGAGGTCTTGATGAATTCTAACCAAAGCTGTCTGAAGAGATGGTTTTAGGACTCTTATCCTGTGAACTGTGCACCATGAGGTCAAGGGGAGCTGTAACTTGGATTCAATTGGTGGATCTGCCTTTGGCTCCCTCTATAAGCACTGCTTGGCTGGTTCTTTTGTGGGCTAATGAAGGGATTTGGATTTATCCTCAGGCTGCTCTCTGGTTTTGTCATATCACACTGTGTCTTGCTTTGGTTTGTGGGAGGTGCTCCTGATGCCTTTTTGGGCTACCTAAAAATAGAGGCCAGACAAAATTAAGGGAGTAAAAAGTAAAAATATTTAATGAAAGGCCATTAGGTACATTATGGGCAGATGAAACAGCCAAAAATGGATGACAGGTTATGAGTTTTCACATTTTATAAGTTTGGTCCATTTGCATATTGAGGGTTAATGTTACAATTACAGCTTCAGGTAATGAAGTCATTTACCCCAAGTTTGCTCCTCCCCAGCTCACTTTTGTTTTACATTTCTCAGGGCCTGAGACAGTGAGGTGTCCTCTATTCCCAGGCCTGGAGAGGAATTGTTGTGTCTGACCAAAATGTGAAGGCAGCAGCTATCACTGTGCATGGAGTCCAGAGCTATACACTGAAGAATTGCAGGATTACAAATATCTGAAAAACATACAAGCTAAAATCCAAAGGCCTCACTCCCAGCAGCATCCTGGGGATGAAAGGGAGAAAAAAATTCCATCTTTGTTCAGATTTTTGTCATTTTTCATGCTGCTGTTTTGATACATCTGGCCAGGTATGAGGGGCTTTTGCTGGGAATCTGCTGGGTGAAGATTCCACAAGGAAACACACTCACTGAAGCTTTCCTGAAAAGTTTTCTTTTCCTTAAACTTTGCCAGGCTTGCCAGTGGCTGGGTGTTTGGTGGAGCTCCTATTTATCAGCTCTTCCTTTCTCTTTAGTTCATCCATCCCCTGTCTATAGCTGAGCTATTCTGCCCTAATCAAAGATACTGGATGGCACCTCTATACATGAGCCCTGCAGCTTCATAAAACCTGATGAAGGAGAGAGGAACATTCCAAGAGAAAACAAGAAAAGGTCATGATTTATTGCTAATAAACAGCTCCTTGGATCTTATTATCTTTGCTGTGTAGAAGCCTGGAGATCTAGATTGGGCTTTATAATTCACATTGAAATTCAATGTATCACATGTCTCTTGTAAAGCCACATCTTTGAATGATACTCAAACCCTATTAAACAGGTACTCATTAAACCACAACACCCTATAAATTCTTCCTGGGTTTTGTTGACAGTACACATCAAACACGAACCCTTAAGTGCTTTTCATTTTCCTGGTAGTGTGCTATCATAATGCATCACATGACAAAATAATGTGTTTACATGACAGATTTAATGCTTGATCTGCTGCATGAAATGCTTCAGAGCACCAGAAGACAAAAATGTAACATTATACTTCCAAGTGTCTATTAATTCTTAACTAATAATAAATTACAGTGGGATGCTGATAAAAATGGATGAGAGAGGAACATGCACACGGGAGGAATTCATGAGGATCGGTGACATGGCAATGAATACTAAATGCAGACATCATAGCTAGAGTGGAAACACAGCGTTTCTGACTTGGGAAGAGACTTGCTGATGCTCCACGGGGCTGACAGACCTCACAGGCTTGTAGTGAAGGTCACGTTAGCTTTACTTTCACTTTTCCCTCCTAAATGGTGCCAGCAAGGAGTCCCAGCTGGTGCTGCCCTGGGAATTGGCCAGGCATGTGAGCAGGACTGGAAATGAGCCCCAGCTCTGGGGACATGAGGGTGTCCTACCAGCCCTTTGTGTCAGCCTGGGGCTGAAAGGGTCACCCACTCGTCCCTCTTAAGCCCTGTGAGCCAGGCTTTGCCTAGCCTGGTGAATTTCTTTGTGAATTGTCAGCCTGTGCCTGGCCTGACAGCTGAGGGGCCGTGGGATGGCTCTGGGGACCTTACAGATCCACAGCAGGCCTCTGCATGGACATCTTGTAGGGATGAGGGGTTCACTGAGGGCCAAGGGCAATCACCAATCCTCCTGGGGCTGGGAGAGACAGAAATCAACCCTTGCTTGCAAACTGCCTCCCACCAGCAAAAGAAAGTAACCAAATTTCACTTTTTTCCAGCCAAAAACTCTTCTCCCCTGCTCTCTCTTGCTGCACCCCTGCACGTCCTGTGCTGATCCGTGTACCCTGCCCGTGGCACTGGGCACGTGGCTCCCACCCTCATCCTGCCTGTCCCAGCCACCCCAGCACCTCCAAACCAGACCCCAAGATGTGCTTTTCTCCCACATGAATCAACTGTTGTGGCTAGAGCAATGATTTCATGCTTGGGTTTGAGCATCACTTCCTACTCTCCCTCAAAGCAAAGCACAGACAAGTCTCAAGTCATTCTGTGCCAAACTGTATTTTGTTTTTTCCTTTTGTAAACCTCTATGCAAACCATTTTTACTTTTGCTGTTTGTTGCTTTCATCAAAAAGGATTGTTAATTCTGGAGTTTCTTTATGAGGAGTTGTCCCTCAACAGGTCTCATTTCTCCCCAGTGCCAACTCCTTCCCTCCACACAACTCTACCGTAATTCACGACATCATTGACTTCCAGCCCCGGCAGAAAAGTGCCAGAATTTGGAATTTCAAGAGAGATATCCAGCCACTCCACAAGTTTAGAGTATGAGGGCAGCTGTGTCCATTAATCTTTTAAAAGAACCCAAATCTCTGGTTTTTATTGCAAGTGGGAGCTAGGAAGGAATTGGTATGTGAGAAAACAATGCTGTAATGATGACATACAATCAAAGGGAGGGTAATAAACCTGCTATTCCTCCGTACTTACTGGGGGAGTTGGCTGGGGAGCAGGAGCTGAGGCTTGTTTTAACTACAGACAGCTCTCTCTTTTCAGTTTTTATAGCTTTCTCAATCACTTTGCTCATCTGCTGCTGGAGGCTTTTATTTGCTGATAAGGGCTGTTAAGCAGTTGGAAAGTCAGGCCAATGAAGTTATATAAAATGCAGCAAAGGGTTTGTGCCAGGTTACAGCCAAGGTGCTGGAGGAGGGAGGGAGAGGGGAAGGCTCCAGGCCTTCCTCTTGGCAAGGGAAATGTCCTGAGAAGGGGACAAATTACAATAAAACAGCCAGAGATGTAGTTTATTGCAATTTGTCACTCAGGAGGGGTCATATATACATATTTAAGTGTATATATACACCATCTTATATTTGTCCCTACTTCTTGAGCTAATGGGACAGTGGGTTCCTCTTTCTTAATATTTTTCCTCTTTTTCTGAGAAATTTCTGAAGCCTCCTTCAACAAGAAAATGAATTATGAATGTTGATATGCAATGGGAGCTGTGCTGAGGTTGCTTTGCCCCAGTCCTGTGGTCTGAAGCAGCATCTTTTAGTGAGGAAATGACCAGTTAAACCCCAGGAAGTCTTGGAGACACATTAAAGGCTACTTCCAAAGTGACTTTGTAATACATTTCCTTATCTGGAAACAATCAATGATAGAAATGGAAAAATGAACAGATTTTAAGACTGCAATTTTTCTTTGAGCAGTCTCCAGGGCTGTGTCTCTGCAAGCCTGAATGCAGGGGATAATGTTGGGCTGCATCCATGGTGAACCTGGCTTTTTTGGTTTGGGTTTAAAAGTTCATTCTATATAGGGTTGGTTTTGTGGTTGTTGTTTTGTTTTGGGGTTGGTTTTTTGTGGAGGGAACAGTGATTCTGGGACTGCTTTGTTCTGCTTTCTCAGCCACTATTTATTTATTGCAATTTGCCCCTTTATGAGGAATTAAAAGTTAATCTGGAATGTCAGGTCTGGAAGGCATTGTATATATATATAAATGTAAATATATAAAGAAACTGATACAATTTTAGAATTTAAAAAAACCCCAACCAACCAAACCCAAAACAAAAAAACTGTTCCCCATATCCAGCTACTATCTTTCAGGTCCCTCCTGCAAATTATTAACATAGTTCAGTTGACTTGTGGTCACTTTTAACAGTTTATCAAATTTTCTGATTTTTAAAAGGTTCCTAATTTGCTCACTTCATGTCCCCAGAGTGGAGGATTCTCTTTAAATCCTGCATTTCTCACCAACTTCTTTGCAGCATCAGTTATTGCAGTACAACAACAGTTTGTTTTCAAAGAAATTTGTGGAAAAGCAGGCATCCTTTACAAATGTCAACTCTGTTTTGGTCCTGACCTGAAAAATGAGGAGTGTCAGGTTTTACTAAAGCATTTCAGTTCTCTTTTGCTCTTTCTTTTTGCTCTGAAGCAAATTGGAAACATTCTGTCGTCCCTTCTTGTCTCACCTCTTGCAGATTGCGTATGATGGGTAGGTAGGTAGGTGCCTTTCTGCTTCCTACTTTAATTCTTGAGAAATTTCCATCTAACCCCAAGGAAATATGAAGTCAAAACTGATGACTCTGTCTGGAAAAAGTCCACTGAGATGTGACAGCTCCTCCTCCCCGGAGCAGAGCAGCAGCACGAACACCTTGGGAGAAATGCTGCTGACTGCAACAAACCATTCACTTCATTTTCCTTTCCCTCCTTGAAAGCAGTTTGTTCAAAGCCCTCTGCAGTCAGGAGCCTGAGAAAATAGTTTAAAAAGCTCTAGGAAAGGATTTACTCTTTGCATGAGTTGACAGTCTGCAATCTTCAGTGCAGAGCAGTTAATTGAAAACCGGGGAAGGAAAGGCTGTTAAAAGGTATCATGTGAATCTTGGCTCAAGGCAGTAAAGCCCAGCTTTCAAGTTAGTTTTTTCCCCTGTTTTTCTTCTTGAAAGATGTGCAAGTTCAAGGAACAGAGATCTCAGAGTTTGGATGGCCATAAAGCTGCTTGGTAATGATGGACCATCTGCTGCTGCGAGTGCAAGGTGCTCACTGTGGAAACCTGCTGGGGCTTTGACCAAATGCCTCTTGGAGGAGCTGAATCCCTCTATTTCTACAAATGTACATATTCACACATTGCTACTGCATCTCTCTTCTCTAACAGCCTGGATTTTGTGCCCAGCACACTGGGATATTGTCTCAGCAGAGCAGATTGGTGCCTGCACCCCCTGGTTCTGGCCACCTCACCCACAGTGGTTGCTGCTCTCACTCTTGCCAGATCTACCCATCTACTTCATCATTTGGAAAATCACTTTCCAAACTGTGGTCTGTTAACTGTGTACAAAATTGGCACTGAATATGGTCTGAATGTCACTTCAGGAAAGGTGGTATGAATCCTTTTAGAAGAAGTGTAGCCACTGAGTCTGCCCACACACTCGCTGGCATGTGCAGTTTGTTCCCTTTCCTACCCTCTGCAGGAAGGATTTGAGATCTCCTGGGCTGATGTTACATTTTCTGGTGCAGATGCATTAAAAATGGATTCATTCTCTTTCTTTTTTTTTTAATTTTTTTTATCAGGCTCCACTACTTTCCTGCTGGGGCTATTTATGTAGAACTAGATTTAAACGTCTCCTATTTCATCATAAATTGTATTGACCTAGTAAAATCCATGCTGTTTTCAGCAAAGTCTGTTCCATTTGGAAATAAGATATAAATCTCCTGACTTCAGAAGGTTTTTCTAAAAAACCCTCATTTGAGGCACAAGTGGGGTCAAGGCAAGGTAACAACTGAGATCCAAAGTTTGCTGTGCTTTCTCCTCATACCAAAACCTACCATATCAAATCTACCCAGCCTTCAGAAAGTTTTACTGCTTGCCACTTGTAGTTATTAATAAAACAGGTCATTTATATATATATAATATATAATGCATAATATATAATAAATATATAATATATAATATATAATATATAATATATAATATATAATATATAATATATAATATATAATATATAATATATAATATATAATATAATATAATATATATATATAAAACAGATATATAATAGCAGTAGGGTTAATAAAATCCCCACTCTTAACAGATTCAGCTGCCATCCCCCTGCTGCACCACCTCTGAACCCCCAGAGACCCAGAAATGAGAACACACCTTCAAGGAGCTCAGCCTGTGGTGTGTTCACAGGGTGATGGCAGGCCTCAAGACAGAGTTTCCCACAAAATGTAATTGCTGCAGATTCTTTAAGACATTGCCAGAAGAAGAAGAGGTGTTGAGGGCACAATCTCTTTTTTATGAGTTACAGTGTGTACTCGTGCATTGGAAAACAAGAATTCATTTCTATCATTCTCCTGAGAGAGTCTAAAGCCACTTTTCCCAACAGAGTGGCTGAGCTGGTGGCTGCTC